TACGTAACAATGCACTGAATATGATAGAAAATATGACTTACGCAATTAGAATAACGTCGGTGATCGTCATCTGGAATTATGGCTGTGGATTGCTACCCAAACTCCGTTGACCTCTTGACGATAAAGTGTAGAACACAAGAAATTCTCCAATTTCAGGAAAGGTGCCACTGTACTGGAAACTTCTTCGTCAAATCCTCTTCGACTGCGCCAATTATGAATGATGGTCTAGGGTTGATTTTAATAAAACTATTTATTCAAACCAAGTAAACCATGCATGTGTTGCTCTGGGAGCGTGTTGAGTCTTCGAAGTATGGAATAACAATCAATGTATCAAAAGTTCTTGAGAAACATCTAGATAATAATCCTGCAGTTACAATTCTAAGAAAGTATCATATTCTTGCTGATGGCGTCACGTTCTTGATAACTCTAGAAGAGGCGATGCAGGCTATGCAGTTGGATATATGGAAACATCCATATACTGGGTGATGAAATGTTGTAGGCTGGTACAGGATATAACTCGCACTATTTCCATTTATGCAAAAAATTGTAAAAATGAGAATGTAAACTCAAATGAATGTCTCATGATGCCTGTAAATTTGGTTTGAAACTTCAGAAATTTAGCAAGATTCTCCCACGCCTTGCTATTTTTACAAAGGAGGCGATATGGGGAGATTTTGAAACTCACAGAACACTTTTGCTCCCTAAATTTAGAAACCATTACAAAAAGCTGTTGTTCCAAGCAAATGAATGAATGTACTTGTTGTATGTCATGATAAATTTGCCACATTTGTCACTTTTTTTTGTTCATTTAATTCCTTTATTTTGCTCATCATGTTTACTCTCATGCCGGTATAGAATACATAGGCGTATCCAGGGGGGGGCTGCCGGGCTGCAGCCCCCCCCCTCACGGCAAGTCTTAGGAGGATAATTTATAATTCTTAGAATTTATAACCACTTCTGACGTACGACAATATTCATCACTTCTCTATAACCTACATAATGAACAAATTAATAGACCATTATTCGAAAATATTAATGTTATATAATAATATATAAGTGCGTATTGGCAACAGCGCCAGAATCGTTGCGACAGTCGGGACACATCGTGACTCGTGAGATGTCGCGTGAAGAAACTTGAGAAAAAGCGCAGAGGGCAGGGCTGATGCTGCTAAACATACCCACATTACGATTTTAGTAGGCGTAGGTATTTGCCGTTTTTTCCGCTGAACAATGAAGTATAAAAAAGGAAAAAGCCTCTTTCAAGTATAATAAGAGTGTATCAGTGTCACTGTGTTTATTACTACTATTATACTAGTTTGTTTTTGAGGAAAATTGAGCTTATGAACGTTGTTAAACTATTGTTGATTTTGTTTTGATCTATGTATAATTTTTTTGTGAAATAATAGAAATAAAGTTTCTTTTAGCAAAGTGTCAAGTGAATCAGTGCTGCACCTTAAATTTCCGCCACACTCCCTTCCTCAGGAGAGAAGGGGTAAACAGGATTCCCCCATCTCACAAACAAAAAGCGAATAAGTGCAAACTCGCACCCCGATGCAAACATTTTTGCCGTCCCGACGGCCGACAAAAGAGAATACCCGCGTAACGTTTCGGTATGTTTAGGATGAATTACGGACATAAATTGGGCGTGGCTCCGAAAAATGTTTTTAACCTGCGGCGCTTTTCTTTGGTCACCACTTTTTCTTAACACAGCCCCCCCCCAAACCAAAATCCTATATACGCCAATGATAGAATATATATATATTTTTCATGTTACCCAGGGATGACACTTGAATCAGTTCTACTGTCTGTCATTCCTGTTTTGCAAGTTGACTTATATGTTATGAAATGTATTTAAACAACTCATATATTACTTCCTGTTCATCTTGCAAATAAATTATTATTATTATTATTATTATTATTAAACTCATTTCAATAGGTAGTGATAACACCATTTGACTTTGTATACAGTATCTATCTGGTGACAATGCATCATGAAATTTTTGTTCGACAAAAAAAATGGCGGACGAGTTCTGTAATCATCATAATTATGATCCGATTCTATTCAAAATTGGTATCTGGGGGTTTTCGAGGTCGGAGATTAGAGAGTTTTTGATTGCTGACCGGTTGCGACCACTTGGACCAATTCCGACCGCAGGGTTTTTAATTGGTCACCAGGACCGACCGATTCAAGACCACATTGCCAGGGCTTTTTGATGGTCAATGTGGTTCAAGAATATGGAATATAACCTCAAAACAATCCAAATACTCGAAAAATGGCGAAAAGTGGCAAAGGTATCTACAGTATTCAAAATGAATGACTCAGCTTGCTTATAATTGAACAAAAATAGCATTACATCACTGTAAGATGTTCAAAATTATTAGTCCATCCACAAAATCTATCTGGAGTGATTCAATGACTGATACAATAGATGATACCAAATAATATATCTGATTTTTAGGATATCAGGATAAGTGTTATTTTCGGTATATTAACGATTGAGCAGTGAAGTTCACAGTTTTCGCGGTTTGTGTCGTTTTCACAAGTGACCAGTAGAAACCAATTGTATTAGTCATTGTGATCAGTCACGTGCCATCAACAACCGCTCCGTCAGGTCGGCGGCAACCAAAAACTCTAGATTATGAATCTTACTTCAAAATTTGTGAAATCAAGATGGCGGATCTAATATGGCAGACGAGATTTGAGTCTTTCTTCAAAATTTGTAAATTCAAGATGTCGGATCTAATATGGCGGACGAGATTTGTGATTATGATCTGATTCTATTTACAATTGGTATCTAAGGGTTTACAGGGTCAGTTTTATTGATTTTTTCATCAAAATGTGGAAAGTCATTATGGCGAATCCAATATGGCCGACGAGTTTTGAAATTATGATCTAATTCTACTCAAAATTGAAATTTTGCTGTTCTCAGGGTTGGAGACTATGATTCTTTTGTCAAAATTGAGAAATTCAAGATGGCGGATCCAATATATATAGCTTTGTTGAGTATTTTTTCCAAAATACTTGAGAAAGTTATAAAAAAGAGAAATGTTGACTTCATCAATGAAAAATATGGGTTTGACTTGAATCAATTTGGTTCTCAAGAGAAAAGTGGTACACAGTCAGCAATTTCATAAGTAATCAATTTTATATAAGATAGACTTGACAAAGGGAATTATGTAGTAGCTATTTTTATGGACCTAAAAAAAGCATTTGATACAGTTGACCACAATATTCTACTGAAAAATCTCAATGCAATGGGCATCAGAGGTATTGGAAACAATCTCTTGAAAACATATCTAGAAAAAAGGACTATCAGTACTAAAATCAATAATTGTGAATCTAAAATACTATATATAAACAAAGGAGTTCCCCAAGGATCAGTGTTGGGCCCAATTCTGTATCTTTTATACATTCAAAACATTTCAAAAATAAATTTAATAGGAAACTATGCCATATATGCAGATGACACAGTACTTTTATTTGAAAACAAAAACCCTGTAATTTTAGAAAACAACATAAATGAGGATTTGAAAAAAATGGAAGAATGGCTATACTCCAATCTTTTTTCCCTTAATTCTAATAAGACCTAATATATCATTTTCCATCAAAGGAATAAACAAAATATTGATTTGAATATTAGCATAAAAAATGAAAGATTGAAACAAACTGCCTATGCCAAATACCTTGGTATTTGGATTGGTGAAAAGTCAACATGGGACAAGCATATTGGCATGCTCAAAAAAATTTACCCCATAGTTGGTGCCTTAAGAAGATGTTCAAAACTTATCCCAAATATAGCAAATACCGTTCTATACTCTCACATCCTTAGTAAAATGAACTATCTCATAAATATTTGGGGTTCATGTTCCAAGAATAATTTCAACAAAATATCTGTACTATATAAAAAAGCATTAAAAGTACTATATTGTCTTCCATATGACACCCCATCAAATCAACTGTATGAAGAAACAAATACATTTTCTTTGGAAGAACACTATCTGATAAATACTCTCAAAATTTCTTTTGATATTATCAAAGAACACCTCAAATCTAACTTCATGTTGGTAAGGAATTCTCAAATCCATGAACATCATACTAAACAATATGTCTTGATGCTGCTAATTCTACACTTGGTGGAAAAAAGTTCACTCAAGGAGCTATCTCAAAATTCAATAAATTACCTGATGATATCAGAAGTTGCACAAATATCACCCAATTCAAAATTAAAGTCAAGAAACATATCCCTTCGCAAAGAGAAAATCAAACCTGAGTGAATGATTTCTCATTCACTAATTTATTTCATCATGTCAAAATGTACTTTTCATGAGCTTTTTGTTTTATAATTTTTCTTTTTGATTCTGTTGTTCATTTCAATAACTATAATTTAATTTGATAATGCATGAATAATCTCATAACAGATATGAATCTGTCTGATTATTCATGTTATTCCATTGTAAATGTTAATGATTATATTTATATGAGATGCAATGTAATGTTTATAGCAAAGACTGAAATAAATAAATAAATAAAATATGGTGGACGCTTTTTGTAATTATGATCTGATTCTATTTGAAACTGGTATCTAGAGGTTATGAGGGTCAGAGATTATGATTCTCTTGTAGAAATTGGGGTATAATTACAAAAAATTTGAAAAAACTGAATAACATTCTTTTGTAGTAAACTACAACTAATAAATAAAAAATAAATAATAGTTCAAAAACCTAACCTTTTATAAATTGCCACTGGAAAGAAGTAGAAAATAAAATAATGCAAGTGTTTTGATAAATACACAACATAGAATATACTGATTACAAAGGTGAAAATTGTTGTTAAAGTTTTCATATTTTACTTTATTTTGGCTAATGTGAATGATTTATTAGTGATCCCTCTAATGATGTGAATATTATGATTCATGTGAGTTTCTATCTTATTCATTTTTTCTTTCATGTGATGACTGTCAATCAATATTAGATAATCAAGTAGGTATAAATTAACTCACCCTTAGCATTGGGACCAATTCATCTTTAGATATTCCTATTCTCTCTTTATCAGCTGAATCTACTACATATATGATAGCATCAGTATTACTATAATAACACCTCCAGTATGGTCTGAAAAATAAGACAAAACAATCTTAGAGAAAATATAAATTTAACTAACACTGAATATTTGTATAATATGGGGTTCCCAGTAATTAAGAATGTTGTTGATATATTTTATCAATATTTATATCCCTACAATAAAGAGAGAATAAAATTTTCATAATTGAACTAGGACAAAATGTATTTACTACATAAGGAAGCCAAGTAATGGAAAAACCTTTTCTATTTCTATATACCAATTTGCAGGAATAATTGAAACACAAAATAGTGGAATGAACTCTTCACAAGTAGATTACAATAATCCACCTGATATTTTTATTTCTTATCTAAATCAAACAATCAGATGCTATAAAAAATAGTAGGTACCTAAGAATTAAGCAATGATCCTTTTATTTGCATACAAGAATCTGGGGTAATTTTGCACTTATCATGTGAGGGGTTTTTTTTCGAAAATTTTTTTTGGTACTTATGTATTTTTGTCTGAAAAACACGAATTTGATAATGAAAATGTGAACAAACCATTATTTATTGAGATATTTCACTATGAAGTTACAAATTTCACCTTCTTTTCCGCCTGTCTTTGGTGGGCATTTAGAACAATTTGCCCTTCTTTTTCCATCATTGGACAATTTATATATATCACACAATGTTGGACACATATTTTTTATTATATGAGTCAACTAGAAATAAGATTTTCTTGTGATTTATCCATGTTTAGTGAAAAGAAGGAAGAATATCATTTGAAATAATGGCGTGTGTGATGTCATTCCAAAGCAATCTATTGACATTTGACATCTCCTATTTGGATTACCCATGGATTAAATGGTGTTCATCTGGTATGCTTGCTCACTAAATAGGAAAAACTCACCATAAAAATCATATTTCCTGTTGAATTTTCTAGCTTAAAATGTGTCATTGAAGTACATCATGAGTATATGAAGTGTCCAATGACAAAATAAAAAGAGCAAGTACCTGTAAATGCATCCAACACAAGGGGGAAAATAAGGCAAAATTTCGAACTTTTTCTTGAAATATCTTGATAAATAGTGGTTTGTTCACATTTTCAATATCAAATTCGTGTTTTTCAGACAAAAATACATAAGTACCAAAAAAAATTTTCGAAAAAAAACCCATCGCATGATAAGTGCAAAATTACCGAATCTGGATTAATAAATCTAGAAAAATGAGCACATTTTTAACATGAACAAAAAGAGGAAATTATTGTTATTTCTAATGTTATTGATAGTTTCACCACCTACCCATATACCTTGAAATTCTTGTGAATAAGTATAGGATCCCAACCAACCAAGGAAGCATTTCTTGACATTTTCCTATATATTATGATCAAATGTATTACCTGATACTTGTTTGGCCACCAAGATCCCATACTTGGAATTTCAGATTTTTGTAGGTTACTTGTTCTACATTGAAGCCTATGGTAGGTATAGTTGTGACAACCTCTCCTACTTGTAATCTATATAATATTGTCGTTTTTCCAGCACCATCTAGTCCCAAAATTAATATCCTCATCTCTCGGGTGCCAATGAGGCTCTTGAAATAACTGAATAACAACCCTGTAAAAATGGAATTTGTAAATTATTCTGAACTCACTGAACCTATAGTTATATTACCCATGTTTGTAGTTTCTTAATCTACTCAGTTTCTAGCACCAATTCAGTCGTCACAAATACATTTTAGGGGATAATACTTTCCATTCAAAAATATAAAATCATTCAAAACTTTTTTACGTTTTATTGACGTGTTGTGACTGTTGTGAGATGGCTGACAATTGACAAATCGACAAACGACATCCACAAACCGGCATTCGACTTGACTTCAACGTCATTGTCAGACGTCAATGTTAGTTCATGAATGCAATCTTAGAGTATGATCTGAGAATGCAATGATTTCCGCGAGTGCACCCAACAGTTCCCGCACACTACATTCAATATTTTGGCTTCTAACGCACTTGATGCAAGATTGGGTGTTTTTCATTCCATCAATTTGTCATGCACATGAATTCTATTCCAGAAAATGTGAAAATTATCGAATTATCTGATTGTTGCATATGTGCAACATCATGCATGATCGACATGATTGACAGATCTAAAATTGATAATATTCAATAGGAAACTGTAAATTTGTCTGAACGAAATATCAGAAAATCGGAATTTGTAATAGCCTATAGCTTTTGGAATTAAAGGTGTGGTAAAATTGAACAAAAAATTAAGGTCCTTATTTAAAATTGATAAGTTGATGATGATGGTTTTTGGAAGACAGAACGTCGTGTTGCGAATTTGGACACGCTAACTTGTAGAGGAGAAATAGTGACATAAAAAAGTGTCATTCATTATTTCGATTATTTTCGTCGAATGACTTGGAAAAAAATGAAAAGGTTTCGAGAAATCTTGTTTTTTTATATCTTCGAAAGTACTCAAGTTTTCCAAGGTTCGAAACGGTATTCTGTTAGACATAAAATTGCGCAACTTTTCCATTACCAACCGACCCTGTATCTCTTACGGTTTATGAGATCCAATGAATTGTTATGTTGTAGATATGCAACAGAATGCATTGTAGGGTTTTCAAATTATTATTATAAATAAATAACAATTGTCACATTCAACACCAACCATCATCGACCCTCATATACTTTCCTGGCGTCGAGCTGTGCCCAGGCGGCCGCCAGCCGGCACTAATACACATTACCGCCGATTTAATGATCGACTTGGAAGTGCTTCAGCAGCAACACATTTTGATGCACCATTGATGGAAACACTTAGCCACCAACGTATATATGCGCTCTTTCCATGGAGATCAATGCTATCTGCATCCAGTATTGTTTCTCATTTTAATTTTATAGGAACAAAAAATATTGCAGATCTTTGAGATTCTTGAGAGATTTTAGAATATGAAGTTAGTGATAATCAATAAAATAGTATTAGCTTGTTGAAGTTATAGGAGATTTGATATAATAATGATCCAAATGATCAGCTGATTATTGATATAGACGTTCCCAGAACATCCACCAGGCCGACAAGTATAGCAAAGAGTCAAAACTCGTTTTTGTTCAACTGATGGTTTCAGACATTTTACCACCACAAGGTCATCATCAGTATTTTTAACTGGTGGTTACTTAGCATAGGGAAATCATCGGCCCATCACCAATACCGTTGATTGATATATTACGCTTACGCCAATACCCAGGCATTGTCACTTTTCCAAACTTGCCTGCACTAGGCCGGACTTGTCCCAGTAGTTCCTGTTCACCCATGGGACCCTCCAGCAATAATTGCGAAAGGATCCATATCGGCTATGCTGTTTGTTTTGAGAATCAATACTTTCTAATGTGTTGATGTGAAATCCAAATGAGCAGGAGTTAAAATCGTGAAGGATGCAGCAACTAGTTCCACCCGGTTACAAATTTACATGCGGAAATGAACGTACAGACTTTAAAACACAGACTGAAAACTACTGCGAATGACTGTAGTACGCCTATTCAAGACAAAGTTCAGAACATCATGACGTTATATATTATCGTGCGACACCTCTTGCATGTGGTTAGTGGCCTGCAAAGCTATATCGGCATAGGAAACTACGCGGATCCGCTTGGATGCGACCTCAAGCCCCACAGCTTGCATCAAAACCAGTACGGTTTTTTCAAGTGGATGAGAGGGTTCAGAAGAAGAAACTTGGTAGTCTTCTTCACCAGGTCGTCTTCGACTCCGGAAGGACCCTGAAACCAGTTGCGATCAACGCTGACTCCCAAAAAGACAGCCACGTTCGGGCCCAGTCAGTCACACTGTGTTCCAAAGATTCCGGCAGCTCTTTTAGCACGACGAATTGATCAAGAACCACTCATATACGTATTTATAAACAATACGGATCATAACGGGTGCCAGGATGAAGCCAACAATATGAAACAAATGAATATCCATAAGGATTTGGTGGCATGATACGCATGCGCCATGCGCTATCATGGTAGTCATCAAAGACATGCGTTTCGGTGGACAATGACGTTTACTAGCCTTTCAATCAAAGCAGTATGTGTCTGATCGTTTCGAAAGGTGTCCTTATGGATAGTCATTTGTCTTCAAAAATCGGCTTCATGTTTCGCTATGGAAACAGATAGAGATTATCCGTATTGATTATTAATAGGTATATGGAACCACTGAACCATCATCATAAAAGTGATCCACCACCGAACCAATTAGCAGCACAGACGTCCACCTGTTTGATCCAAAGACCACAGAATGACGTGAAGAATCAAGTGTTCATGTAGTGATAGGTTTATGAATATATATTTCCTATGTTTGAATTCAAAGTTTTTCATTTAATTTCATATGTAATAACTACAATAAATACACAGAGTATTGAAAGCCACATTAAAAGATGAAGTGCGTACCAACTGTCGATAGGCAATCGTCGATATTAGTATCCACAGAAGTTTCTATATCAAATGTCATATGTTCATAAGTCAAATGTCAAATCAAAGTCAGTAGTGTCAGTCGTGTCAGTGGTTCACGTTGTTTTTTGTTTACTTTTTCAAAACTTTTACAAAATACTATTAATGTAATAGCATCAGTAGATAAAAACTAGAGTAATTTCTGTGCCATTCGGAACTTGGAACCTTGAAAATGAATAAATCAGCAAGGAAACTCAAAAGCCTCTTATATATTACTGTTTCTGGATATGCTGTTAGTGGAGCAATCAGTCTATATAGGGGAGATGAAAACTTGTACAAAAACTTCTTGATGCCTTTAGTTCACACCATCGACGCAGAAAAGGCACACAAATTAGCAATTTTCGCCAGTAAACATAGGCTCATACCTAAAAGTCATTATGTAGATGAAGAACCACTGAAAGTGAATATCTTTGGAAAAACATTCTCAAATCCAATTGGTATTGCCGCTGGGTTTGATAAGGATGGTGAAGCTGTACTGGGCCTAAAAGATATCGGGTTTGGCTTTGTGGAGATTGGTTCAATTACCCCAGAACCTCAGCCAGGTAATGAAAAACCTAGAGTTTTTCGCTTGATTGAAGATCAGGCAGTTATTAACAGGTATGGGTTCAATAGCAAAGGACATGATGATGTTTTTCAAAGGATACAATCTTTGAGTGAAGAAGAGAGAAAATCTATTATTCTGGGAATCAATTTGGGAAAGAATAAAAATTCCACAGATTCAATAGGTGATTATGTAGAGGGTATCAAAAGGTTTGGCCCAGTAGCAGATTACTTGGTAATCAACATAAGCAGTCCTAATACTCCTGGATTGAGAGATATGCAAGAAAAGAAACAGTTGAGAGAACTTCTTAGTGCCTTGGTAGAAACCAGGAATCAACTAAAACTAGACCAAAAACCATCCCTTCTATTGAAATTAGCCCCTGACTTATCATCAGAAGAAAGAAAAAATATAGCTGGGGTACTAAATGAGAAAAGATGTAGAGTGGATGGTTTGATTGTTAGCAATACCACCATTGATAGACCAAAGACTCTATTGTCAGAAAATAAACAAGAAATTGGTGGACTGAGTGGTGAGCCTTTGAAAGAAATGTCCACCCAAATGATAGCTGAAATGAGCAAATTAACTGGTGGTATGCCTATAATTGGGGCAGGAGGAATTTCATCTGGACAAGATGCCTATGAAAAAATCAAGGCTGGGGCTAGCTTAGTGCAAATATACACTGCATTAGTGTATAATGGGCCACCAGTAGTGACGAAAATTAAAAGAGAGTTACAGCACTGTGTGATGAAAGATGGACATGCTAATGTTGAAGCAGCAGTTGGAAAAGGAAAATAAAGTGACAATTCAGTCTCACCAGAACCACCCAGAACTTTTATAGTGATATCTGTGATATATAAGCTTAGTTCAAAGTTCAGCCTATAACTACCTGTTGTGAGACACTTCCATTTGATTTCAAAATAGTATTCATTATGTACAGGGTGTTTGGTTCACTGATGTATATCCAGAAGGAAGTCATAGAGGTTATTTTTAACATATTTAACCATATTTATACTATTATACTAAGTGTTAAACTTTACAAGAAATCAGCCAAAATATTTTCTTATCATCTCTAGATACCATTAAGTGTTCAATATCACTTTTTGAAATAGTATACCTGGTGTGTGTGGTGTGACAGGATAATATTACCTACACCCCCTTTTTCTTCCTTATTAGTGTTTGAAATTTGGAATGACCAATCAACTTGATAAACATCCTGTTCCAACATAAATACATTGAAAACTTTTGATTTTCAAATGGAACACCCTGTATATCATTCCATTTTTCAATTCTGCATCATTATCTGAATTTGAATAATACCACATGAGTGACATTTTAACAGGTGTAATTCTAAAAACCATTGAATCCTGTCGAAAATGTCAAATTTCTTGATTTATCTCAAAAAATTAAGTTTATCAAAATGGTTTGGTGTACCATGATCCTGTTACACACAGTATATGGTCAAATATGTTTGAAAAGTTCTCACCTATCAAACACTCTGTATAATCTTGATTGGCACCACTGACCTATAAACAATAAGGAATGGAAGGGCAATGGCATTTCTCAGTTCTACACTAAATGGGCCTGTTCTAATAAAAACATGTATTTCATTCTATTTTGAAGTAACTATTGTACAAACTCAATACCTACCTCTAATAATTCATTGTCGCAAACGATTTCTCCCTCATAGATAATTATGTACAATTGAAGACGTTGGAAGAAGAACAGTCCATATTTCTTAAATGTTGGGAAAATGAAAAAAAACTTTACTGTTATTTGGTGATAAGTTGAAACAAATACTTGAAATTGATTGATTTTATGTAAAATAGACAGACTGCGTTAGATTATCATAAAAAATGAGTAATATTTTTGCCGTCTACATATTGAAACAATTCTTTTTTGAAAATTTGGACTATTCTGTTTTTTGCACCAAAAGATTTGGAAAAATAATATCATTCCAAGGAACTATGAATTGTTTCATTAATATACAGTGTTTCATTAGTGTGTTTCAAATTAGTGATGGATCAGTTTCACAACGCTCATTCTCCTCAGACGTTTCGTGTGGATCGTCTTCAGGTTGATCTGTCGGCAAATCTCCGAAGATAGTCTTGATAACATATTTTTGGACTGAACTCTTGCAATCTCTTACTTTTTTATCGTTTATTGCTAGATATTATTCTTTTAACAATTTTCTGTTGGCCGAGACAACTGACTTTGTGTACCGGTCTTGATCAGAGGAAACGTTGAATAAATAGTAAGCCCGGCAGAGGGTGAGCATTGGATGAAGCATCATTTCCAGTATATTTCAAGACTCTGTAACTTGATATTACAAACTTCTCAATGTTGCAGTTTTACCTACATTATGAATATGCATGTGATACAGATTTTTGTATTCCTTTATCGGTCTTTTGTCCTATACGAGCTATTAGTTTTGACGGAAGTAGCCCAGCTTAATATAGGTAGTTCTTGTTTCTCCTCATTTGCTTGTTTATTGAAAGCTTCTAAGACCGATTCCCTGCTTTGTTGGGTAATATTTGAGGAAGATCTTTTCCAACAGTATTTATATACTCCTCTCCACTAGGTCTTAAAACTTTGCGGACATGTTGGTCCCATTCATGTTCACGTCTTGGGCGTTTTCTCCCTTTTTTAACAATCTGTACTTTTTGTGGTTGTTTTCGGATACGTAATTTAGTTTCACGTACCCCTCTATGACATCTTATTTCTGAGATGAACAATGAACTAGCCTGAAACCAGTGCCGGATTTATACTCCCTTACGCCGGGAGCTAACTTTTACTATGTCGCCGCGCCGCCGCCAAATATTTAATTTTCATTTATCAGTTTCAAAATTCAAATACTACTTCTTCAACAGCATATATCAATAACATGAAATCATTTTTTACAACGAATCAAATTATATTTACTTCACACAACAAATATTTTTTTTCAGATGAATACTAAAATACTTTTCTTGATTATTTTGATGCGAAGTCGTCAGTGGCATCATCAAAATTCAGATTTGATAACATGTCACTGTTAATATTTGAAAATGATAAGATAATATTCAATATTATCCTCTACCATGGAATTCCTAACTAAGTTTTTCACTCTTTTTAAAGTTGAGGATGACCTTTCACTACTGGCATTACTAATCATCAGGGATAGTAAGTAATTGCCCATAATCAATGAATTAGGAATTTGTTGTGATTATCCCTAAAACAACACCTAGTCGTGTTCATATTTCGATCATTTATTTTTGAGATTCTAACTCTTCTTTTTCGCGTATTGAATGTAAAAAAATATAAAACTTACCATTCCCGTCTTGAGATCGTGAGGTTCTCGGAGACGGTTATTATTCTGTCAGTTCTGATTCTGTCTCATTTGCATTTAGAAAAAATGAATGTATTTTAGAACATTTCTTGACAATTTCGTCTAACTGCTTCTGTTTATTGATCTTCTGTCGTTTCCAGAATACACCACCTTCTTTTTTACGCATTTTTTTAAAATTTCAGTTTCAATATTTATTATTAGTACCATTACCAACGACAACCTATTAAATACTGAACTCTGATTTTGTTTTTTGTTATTGAGTTAGACGAATCACGAAATACCCCTACTCTACTGGGTCGAAGGCGGTTTTTCTTCACATCATCATATAAAAGTATATGTACCGCCGCCGCTTTTGTATTGTAGCGTCCAAGAAACAACTGACGCTAGATTAGTGCATTTTATGATTTTCACAAAAACAGTATCTCAACCAGTCAATGACTGTATTGCTGCTTGTGCTTTTTCTCTTTTCTCTTCTTCTCTACCGCCTCTTGAAATTCACCGCCGGGGGCTGATAGTCCCATAGCCCCCCCCTAAATCCGGCACTGCCTGAAACCAACTTACAAATAACAGCCGGGAACCATCAGTTACGGCGGCGGCTGTGCGACTGCGGCATTTCCACTCAGACAAGTCCCAACCACCATACGCAGTTCGAAGCAATAGTCAGGCAAGTCCTGGACTTGCCCGTTTCTTGAGCCAAATCGTTTGAACGGGCAAGACCTTTGCCATTATATTTCGACAAATATACCACAGACTTGTCTGCTGATTCTTGCACCAAAAGATGCACAATTCCGAGTTGTATGGGTTGACATATTCATTTCATTTCGTGAGAAAATTGGACTTGCCCGGTTCTTGCACCAAGAGGTCTTCAATTATAGATAGGAGAAAATTTACCTAATTATAAAGTTGCTAAAAGCTTGGGCCTCGGCTTGGGCACCGCTCTAAAGTTACAATTTTCAATCGTTTTTACTTCAATAACTCTGAAACTGCTCATGAGATTTTACTCAGATTTGGTCTATACAACTGAAGTGCAATTCGTCGATTGGTATTGCGAAATATATTAATAATTTCATAAGTATCGATTGGAATATTGCGATGAATACTCATTAGAGCTAAACTTGTTGTACGCTCATCTTCTTCTGGTATGCCTATGCAACTTGCAATTTACGACAGTAATGCTGCTCACGCACTAAGCCTAAGTGAGATTAGGGAGGGGGGGGGGTAAGTGGGGCGTTTTTTTATTTTAGGACGTGCAACAATAACGGTTGTCGCCGCTGTTGCCAGCATTGTATAAATTTCCTCATTTGTGTACGTACAATAATTTGGAAATTTTTAAATTCACTTATATAGGTTATCTCATCATTGACTGGAATTTTGGGAGGGAGACCCTCTGGCCACCACCTGGCTACGCCTATGCTCACACCATTCAAACCAATAATGATCACGCGCGGCGACTCAGGCGAATTGATAACTGCGAGCTCAGACTGCCAGCAATTGTTTTACTCGCATTGACGAAAGGTGGAATGCACTGACGTATACGAAGATGCGGTGTAGCAGACCGCATATTATAGTTCCACCATGTGTAGGCGTGAAAATGTTGAAAATTTGCTACAATTTTTATGAAATATCTCTGTTAATCGTTCAAATGTTGACTTATTCATGATACTCTTATTCACTGAAATTCCAATTTTGTCGAAGCTATATGGGTTTTTCTTAAGTACGTGTAGAAAATTCAGGAGCAGCATGTTGCTGACGTCAAAATATGAAGAGAAGTTCGTATAAACATATGTCCGAAAGTTATCTGTTTCTGAGATACAGAGTGTCAAAGTTGAATTCTTATTCTGGTTTTTTGTTGATAAATTCCAAAATAATTTTGATATTGGAATAACATTTGGTATCTAGGGGTATTATAATTATTGTTAGTTATTGGGATTTGAAATAATTAATGCAAGTTATTTGGAATGACAAGAACTTGGAATTCAAAATTGATTCATTAAGTAAGGGAAATTATTTTTCTTCAATTTCATTAAAAAATAGGAATCGGGTATTATTACAATTCAATACTAATAATGATAACAGTAATCAAGACCAAATTGATACTAAAACAGTGAGACTTCACTGTCACAAGAACGGATTGAGATAACATGACAAGTGTACTCACTTGATTGTTATTTTTTTTAATTGGAAGAGTCCAAAAAAGTAGATACAAAGAAGTATAAGAATCATATTCTGCCTATATATTCCAATGTTGAATTAAGGAGAATATTGAGCGGAAGAAGAAAAATGCACTGGCGTATCTTTTCTGATATTCACTAGAGGCGACTAACGAGCCAAATGGAAATAATTCAAATTCATCGATATTTATTCGAATCCCAATAACTCGAAAACAGTTACTCGCAGCGACCTCTACCATGAATATATTTTTTACACAAAAGTGTTCTAGAAATCTATTTTTCTACTATGAAACGTTATA